ATGCGAATTAATGCAGCGGCATGTAAGACCGCATGACCCTAAGCATGTATTGGGAGTTTAGTTCTCGTAAGTATAGGCCTTGCAATCAATTGAATGTGTTTGATAAACGAATATGCCAAACTGTTTTGTGTATGAACATGAGCTACAGGATGTTCAACTTTTATCCCAATAGATATACAATAATCATTAAAAGATTGGGATGTAAATTCACCAGCATTGCCAAGACGTATTGTGTTAATGTGATTATTCGGGAAATGTATCCGTAATCGAATTAATTCCCAAAGTAATTTCGCAAATGCCAAATTGCGAGTTGATAACAGACATACATGTGACCATCTTGTTGATACATCAATTAAAACTATAAAATATCGAAATGGTCTATATGGTGGATGAATTGACCCAGAAATATCACCATGTATGCGTTCTAAAAATTCAGTGAATTCATTTTTAATATTCACTGGTGATGGCCTTATAATTAATTTCCCTGGAGAATATGTGGCACATGAGAATTCATTTGTTTGAAGAATCTTTTTTTTTTTTTGGGCCTTGTTCTCTATAATTCTTCACATCATGATAGAACCAGGATGGCCTCACCGGTCATGCCAAACAACAAAATCATCATATTTAGTAATCTTCCGGTTTACAGTTGCATAACTTTCAATTGTAGTTATATTTGTGTAATATATGCCAGATGAACAAGAAGGTAGTTTTTCCAATATAACTTTGTTACCAGCAACATTACTTGTAATACACAAGTACTCAATATTACCTTCTTTATAGGTCTCAATATGGTATCCATTTCTGCGAATATCCTTAAAACTCAATAGATTTCTTTGAGACTTTGGTTAATATAATGCATCATTAATGCAAAATTTTGTACCTACTGACATAACTACATTTGCTCTTCCGGAGCCTTCAATCAATTTTGTAGTGCCGGCTTGAGTACTAACATGAGAATTTTTCATTATGAGAGAGCAAAAATATTTTCGGTCTATAAATATAGAATGAGTGATTGCACTGTCAGCCAGGCATAATTCTTTCTCATCCATGATATTCTTCATTGCAAATTTATCCCTGAACATTCTCAGGATCAGTTGCACCTTCTGGGTGCTGCTAATGAAACTGCGAAAAATCATAAATAAATTTAAATACAAACTTTAGGACCTATACTATAAAAGTTCAAAATTCAGAGACTGAACTAGACAAATTTAAAACTTTTGAAACAATAAAAAAGGGATTTTCTTTTTTTAACCCAACATTCCAGGGCTAGTAAAAATTGTAGCCCAAACCCACAACAACTACAACACCAAAGGCAAACAACCGCACAAAAAAAAATATACCATCAAAACTAAAAGAAAAAAAAAATGCCATCAGCATAATAACCGAAATAGTGCCGACCGAAATAATATGTTAATTTGCATACACCCAGTTCAAAAATCATGTACAATAATTAAGTTCGAAAACCAATAAAACTCAATGTTCAATAACTTTATTTATGAAAAATTTCAGAAGTTTATTTAATATGAAATTTTCCAACTTGTATAATTTAACCAGAAACCGAAGACAAAACTTGAGCAGTTCCGAACCAAACCCAATTACACATTAAACAAACCTTAAGTCACTTCAAAAACCAGTAACCAAAAGTACAAAATAAACTAATGAAACCCATAATCTACCACGATAAGTTGGATATAGTTTTCAAGATAAGTTTCGTTTACTTGTGTTGCCATGTAATAGTTTGGTGTGCCAGGTACTAAACTACTTGAACTACGGATGATCATGTAGTAAAAATAAAATAACTTTAAGACACAATATCTAAAGTTCCAAAATTAGGTTTCGAACCTTGAGCCCGTTAAGAACAGCCAATATAAAGGCACAACTCATCAATATCCTTTGAAGCTTCAAGCGTTTAAAATCAATACACACCAACTTCAGGCGGTGGTAAAATTCTTTTAATACATACCAACTTCAGGTAGTGGTAAATCTCTTTGGCTAGAGAATCGTGCTGATAACGTGTTATAAAATTAATGTTAGACTACTAATATGAAACTAAGTATAAGAACAAAGAGGAGAGACAAGAGAATAGAGAGAGATAAGAGACTTATATTCAGATATCTTTCAGAAGTATGAATTAGCTATCTATTTATACAAGAGGTTAGGGACCAAACTATGTGAACCAAATAATTCTATCATTAATCCTAAATATTACAGAATCATATCTCTCTAATTGTGAATAGAATAATACACATTAACGGGACATTAAATCAAATCACATATAATTTCATAGCATCATGTTGTTTCTTTAACCATTTTTTGTATTTCATTCATCCGAGAAAGTTTAAAATTGGAGATGTTATTACTTATTATACGATTAAAATAAAATCTTAACAATTTCATGAGAAAATAAATCCTAATGAATAGTTGATTAACTACATTTCAAATATTGATAAAGTATAATATTGATAGTGTTATTAATTAACGATCCTATAGTATGCAATAAAAACGAAGGACGGATCGATGTCCGCAATAATTTTAAAAACACCACTCTACAATAAAAGTATATCCTTCCAAGCAACTGTAAAGAAAACGAGTGATCCAGGTTATTTTCCACTTGACTATGATGTTTATTTTGTCCAATATATTTCATTCCCACTTAGTTACAAGATGGGTGTTACTGTTTGTGTCTTTGGTCCTTTAAAAGTTATGGCTCTCGGTCTAGTGGGCCAGTTTTTAACGGTAGGGTGGGTTCGTGAAAAGATATCATATAAAATGATCAACTATGTAAATAATGGAACTTCCAAACAAACGGTTCTTGTCTTATATTTCAAATAATTATGATGAATATGAATTAACATAAAAAATAATGAGGGTGTGATATTGACATTGATATCAACCTTTTCAAACTAAATAATTTGTGGTTATGTGTAAATATTCGTTGAATCAAAGATTTATAAAATGATTATTATTTTACATATAAAAAAAAGCAAAAAACACTAAAAAAATTTACGATTTTTCATTTTTCAAATAAGTAATCCTGATAACATATGCTTCAACCAAAGGTGTAACGTTGATAAATGGTTCGCAGAGCATCTATAACCCGCCACCGGAATATGCTAATTTTAAAAATGATCTGTTATGACATTAGCAATTTTTTAAATATTTTTGTAACTTATCGTGACTTAATTTTACTAGGGCTTTTTTTCGTTGTTATGCTTTTATATGTGGTTCCTAATATTTCTTCGGGAAGTTACTTTTTCGTTTTCTGATAGTGGAAGTCATTGGATCGTGGAACTGAACGGATCAATCTTGTCGCTAAGACTGAAGCATACAATGCCATTTTCAGGGGCCATCTGAATTATGAAGCACCCCAATTTCATGTGCTTTTTTTAGAATTGTCTACTTCAATACTTTTGAAGTCAAAATCGGTTCCCCTTTTTTTCCATTTCTTTTCCCAGTTTGATTTAGTTTTAGACCACTCCAAACCTTAAGGGATGAGGGATCATTTATCAAAGAAATGTACGAACATTCTCACATGTGCATTTGTTTAGACCAAAGAAGAAGAAGAGGAGGAAATTAGTTGGATTAATTCATTGACTAAATATAGTTTGTTGTAAAATATTGGATATAGATTCTTGATTTCTGATATATATCTAAAAACCCTAAGCATGCAATTCCATGCCCCTAATTCCAGACAGAATCAATAAAGACGTTTAGACATGTTTAGTGTTTTAAGAAACTATAGAATGGATGGTTTAAGTAGGCAAGACTCAAGATACTCCCTAGTCCCAATTACTGACTGGTTCTCCTGGATTTTACCATAACTTTTAGTTCATATCTGAAGTGGCACTTATTCTTGAAGTTTCAGAAGAAAAGTGTCCCTAATTTAACGAAAGGAATAAACTATAATGTCCAAAATGGAAAGGAAAGTGTTTATTAGTTTATACCCAAATGGCTACAAAATGGGGCAAACAACATTTTTAAGAATGTCCACCACTTATTGAACGCTTGTCCATTTTGCTCCTTTTCTATTCACAATTATTTGTTTACGTTGTACGTATTTTTTGCATAAATTTATGTCATTTCTCTCCTGCGCGCCTTACCAGTTACCATAATTGTGCTTTGTTTATTCTTTGTCCATGTCCATTTTTTCCTTTCATTTCTGCACCGCAAATATCCCGACAACCTCAGCTTTCATTCAACCACCCATCTGATCAATGTTTGACACCAATTTAATAATATGTTAGTATCATGTGCTTTTTGTAACCATAATGGAGCCATCACAAATGATCATTCAGAATGCAGAGGTCTGTATTGATTATCAAAATCATAGTACTCTACATTGGTCTCATTCAAAGAATTATATTTGTTTAAAATAACACAGTTAGCAAGCCTTTTTGGGGACAAATGGAGTGATAAACATATTAGAGCATGCATATTTTAAAAAATTAATATGTTACAGCATACCACTGATCATCAATCATTGGTTGAAGTAGCTGAGAACTATGTATCATTCTCAAAAAAGCATAATGGTCCTAGAAAAAAAAGTATATATATTAAAGGTCAACAACCAGGCTATTTAGCTTGAATCTCTTCATTAATTTCTCCAAGCCGCTATTCATCCAATTTATTACTCCCTCCGTCCCATAATTATTGTCCAGTTTTACTAAAATAAAAGATTTTATTTTTAGACAAACTTAACTATATTTTACCTTAAACAACCGGATATACCCCTACGTAAGTAATTGTTTAACTACTAAGATTTTATGGATAAATTTTTTTTACTAAGAACAAATGTGTAACTTGATCCATAAAAAGCCAAATTGGACAATAATTTTGGGACAAAATTTTTTGGGCAAAGTGGACAATAATTATGGGACGGAGGGAGTACTTATTTTTTAATTATATCCATACAAAAACCCTGATTATTATAAGTGCACACAACGGTTATTAAAGTTTATGTGAGGAAAAAAAAATTTATCTAATTTGAATCTCGATTCAATTGGGACAGTAATTTTAAACACTGATGATTAAGATTGATTTACCAAAAATGGGATCACGAATTTGTACCAAGTTGCGCTAGAAATACAATTATTTCATGTACACATCTGAGTAAGAAAAGGCTGAAATATGAAAGTGAGGTCAATACAACACTAATTACCAAAGATATATTTTCCTCACTTTGATTTTTGATTTTTTTATTTTTTTACATATCCAGTAGTCCTACTCGATGAAGAGCTGATTGAAGGCTTCTTACGAGCTCTTTCGTTGTTGTGTTGAATTCTTGTTCCATCTGCGAAAATTAAGAACATAATTGACAACAAAGTACACACTTGATCAACATATATGATTGATTCAGTCGTTTAATACCCCTTTGATCTAAAATGACTGAAAATGAACAAACAATTTTTAAGTGCTTTAATTACCTCAGCAATAATGGTAATGTCAAGAGCAAAGCTTCCAAACACTGCAACGCTGGTGTTGGTAATTGCAAGATTAAGCTTTTCTACCTCCGAAATCAATTTCACAAGCACCCCTTTGTGGTTTTCACAGTGGACCCTCAGAAGAACTTTCTTATCACTAACTTTAGCTTCAATTTCAGGAAGAAGTGGTTGCTGCTGCTCTTTAATGTTGCTGTTTCTGCCATTTGGCTCATTTCCCACCTCATTTACTTGATCTTCAACCATGAGCTGTGATTTCTTCACAAGAACCACAGACTCCACCGTTTGCTTTGTGGCTTGTTCTTCCAGCATGCTTACTCTCTCTTTCAGATGCTTTAAGTATGTGATCGTATCTCCAAGAACTGATGTTTTATCCATCTGCCCGACAAAAATAAATTAACTTGATCAACACAAGAAATTTCACAATCATGCATTTTTTTTTTATTTGGTTCTGCATGGAGTACTGAATTTGCCACATGTATTATTTCATACGAATGCCAAATTTAAACAAACAAAATGGCACAGTCTGCATTTCTGCTGTCCATCAATACAGAAAATGTACTGTATTATGTGCATGAATAGTATCTGCAGAAGTCCTTTTTCAGGTTGACTAACTGACAAGGTTTTTAGCCCACTCTTCATCATATGATTAATTTAACTTCAGTCTCCAAGTTTGAAAATTGAAATAAAGCATACAAAACTGTTAGAAATTATGGCCCCGGAGAACAAACCATCCAATTACGTAAGTAGGAAGTAATTAACCATAACTTAAAAAATATCAACATAATACGTTTCCTTTTTGACTGTTCTTTATTGCTTTTACATATACATCATCAAGGTGGTATTGTGGTGTATTGTCGTTCCTACTCATGACGTCGACAAAAACTTTACAAAAGTAAACAAAACACAAATCAGAGAAGACATGCTTTATGAAGCAAATGGCTAACCTTCTTGAGGCCGGGAACAATGGCGGAAAGAGCCATAAACCGTTGACTGAGCTGCTCCCTTCGCTTTCTTTCCGCTATGATGTGGTCATAAGTTTGTGATTCCGGCCTTACACGTTTTCTATTTTTCGCTGTTTTCGGTTGAGCAACAACAGCAGTACTTTTACTAGCTTCTTCAAGGCTTGTGAATGAACGGTTGGATGTCATCAGAACTTCAGACAATGCATCATCATCCTGCTGTGGATTGCGATCATGGGATTTTAAGGTTTTTGAAGGATTGATGATTTCTGGCACACAGACTGGATTTCCAAAAGTAAGAATAATGGGAGTTTTAGTATTATTAGCCCGCTTGAGCTGCTTAGCTGGCCTCTCAACAACAACAACTGGTTCTTCTGGTGGAGTTTCCATTACTACTGAATAAATATTAGGAACCAATGGAAGAAGATTTTGGTCAATGTGATTTGTTGAAGATAAGGTTGAGGCCAAATGGGCTGTTGTTGTTGTTGTTGTTTGTGGTGTTGGATTAGTAATGTTGATGGTGGAAATACAAGATGAGTTGCTTTCAGGAGATTGATTTGAGTTTTGAAGGAATTCTTCTCCAAAGTTGGGTGATGATGACAAGTATTGCTCATCCAAGAAATCCATTACATCATATTGATCACTGCAATATGTATCATCCTCCATCTCCAATATTCCCTACAAATCAAAGAGAGATGAAGAAGTAGGAAATTATAACATTCATTTAGTACAGTAAAAGGTAGTGTAGATTATTCACCCATGGATTTTCTTACCAGTCCTGAAAACCATGAATTAGCTGAAGTATCCATGAAATAAGCTAGTATGAATTTTTGAAACTTGAGTGATTTTGATGCCAAGAGAAAAAAAAAAAAAAGTGTAAACAGTCTAAATAATTGAATAGAGATAAGGAGATGAGGAAAGAGTTACTTGAAGAACAAAATGATTGAATTGAGACAATATGAATTAAGACTATGTAGAAGGTGTTTGATAACAATGCTTCAAAAGAAACCTTCAGCGCTCTAAAAGCCTAATTGAAAAAGCTTGATGCTGAATTAATGGAAGAGTGGATGGGAAGAAGATGAGATATATACCCTCCGGTTATGGTTCAATTTCATCGAACGCTCTGATTGATTGGTTTGATTTGATTGATTGGTTTCATTTCAGGGGCCAAAAAATTGTCTGCAACTGCTTGGACTGGTTTCATTACTACATTATTCTGTTTTTGAGATTGGACTTATTGGAGCACATTCTTCAACTGTATGCATACCAACAATAATAATTGAGTACGTACTGTATGTCTTTCCCTTTTCTTTTTTTTTTTTATTTTACTAATTGTTTCTTTCTTTCTTCCGAAAAGAGAATAGTGTTTCATTTGTCTGATATATATGATTAAAGCATATTTTTCTGCGCTAGAATACACCTTTCTTTTACATTTTTTGAGTTGTTTATTTACTTATTATTATTGAGAATAAGCCCTACAGGCTACACGCTTGTGTTGATTCAATACATGTGCTATGAGTAGCATCACCCCATTTTTTTCTTATTTTAATTTTTTTTTTAAGTCCAATTATGTTACATTATTAGTTGTATTCTGTTTTAGAGAAAAAAAAAATGTTTTCCACGCATGTTTGCAATACCATTAATCATTACTACGTATAGCTTCATCGAACGACTGATAGAATTCAGTGAGGCAGGAAACTCAAAACATTAATAAAAGTAATTTATTATTCTTTTAAACATGGCGACAAGATGCAACATGGTTTTAACTTTTAACCAAGGAGAAAATGGTGATCTTCGAAGGGAATCCAAGGCAAACGGGGCAAGTCTGCAAGTGTGCCAGGAGATACAAGAAGAGAAAACAATATTGGTGGATGGTTTGTATGTCTTTAATTTCCTTGGCAAGCTTGTTCTCCCTTTATAACGGATAGTTTTTTTTTTTTTTTTTTTTTGGTTGGTTGTCAAGGTTTCCGAAGTTTTGTCCGGACTAATCTGATGGTCGACCAGGGTTGAACATCAGGCTGTGGCGGGTGAGTCTCCCAACAAAGGTCTTTTACATTTACAAGATTTCGAACCCGAGACCTTGCTTAAGCGGCGTGAAACTGCTTACCACTTGAACCAACCTAGTTGGTTATAACGGATAGTTTTGCTCTTTCGGTTGAGAAGTTTATACTGTCTCATGCGTTTTTAAGAGTTTAGCGGGAGTTTCCTATTTTTTCCTTTCCTGTTTTGCGTGCTTTCTATATATTTTTCTACGGATCTGATTAAGAGATTGTTGATTTATCATGTTCCAAAGAAGAAGATCTAATAGAAGAAGAAATGGGCTAAATATTTGGTGCAGTGATGGAGGCCCGAAACCTGTTTATACAAGATGTACCATACATCAAAGATTTTTTATTTTTTTTTAAACATAGCTTTAATCTTAATTTTACTCGAATTCGCGCAGCATCGATCGAATGAAAAAGAAATCAACCACTCAATTATTACAATTGTCCACATGTACAATATTGAATTCAAAGATAAATTCAAATTATTATAGTATAATCTCAATTGTTATAAATTATGTTGTGTATGATTTTCATACTTTGGAATAGTCTCTTTCTCCTTTTAATCATTCATGTGTAGTTCAACTTTACACAGTTGGACCTTTGTAATTAAGTCTGTATCACAAACGGAGTTGGAGTTTTGTGATTCATGTGTATGATTTTCATACTTTATTTCATGTTTCCAAAGTTGGAAGTTAAAAAAATATCAAAATTGATCACACAAAATGAACTCATAAACGTTTTGTTAATTCTTTTCTCTGTTATATAATCTCTCCTTTTCTTATACTCTCTAACCCTAACCGCCTCTTAAAAAAATATTTCTTTCCGCCCACCTTCCCTCATGGGTCGATGGGAGAATTGATCTGATTTTTCTTAGTTTACAGTTCTTTTTATTGTTCAATAATTGGGATTTGTCCCCCAAAATATATTTTTTTCAGTAGATTAATTGTCATCTATTAAGAGGGTATGGTTTTTTCTTGCAGGTATTGTTACTTCAATAGATTAATTGTGATCTATTGAGAGGGTTGGGTGTTTGTGGTGTCTTCCATATTGTAGATGCGATGTTCGTAGTTTCGTTCGTTGCTTCATACTGTGTGGTTCAAGAAGATTCAGTCATCATAGATCCATTCGATGGATCTATGATATTGAACTTTCATCAGATGATTAGAGATATATTCTTGATCAGATTGATTATCTGGTACATGATATATCTATCGTTGTATTGGGTAGATCTAGATAGGTTTATCCACGAGAAACACAATAATATTATTAAGTTTGATTGTAAGTTGTGTTCTTATTTCGACTGTATCTTTCATTATCAATCATTGCTGGACGATTTCCAGTAAAGTAATATAATATAGTTTTTATTTCAAAAAAATAAATTCTTTTCTCTGTTACTATATTTAAATTTCGTGTCAAATTGATATTACTTATAAAACTAGAAGATCTCTCTACATTTTTTTGGTAAATATGTAAATATATTGATCATAAAACATTGAAGAGCATATTTACAACCAAAATGAACTCTATCACATAATAATACTAACAAAACTGGAACCAACACTAATATGTACAAAACTCACAATAATAGATTAAGAATGACTTTCTCTGCTTCTGAGTAAGGCTGCCTTAAGACAAATTTGGACTCTCCAAAATACCTCCTGCTCGATCATCCGTATTAACTGCTCTGGTGTTCTTTGTTTCTCAGTGAAGCATCTGGCGTTTCTTTCTTCCCATAGGTGATAAATAAGAGCAGCAAATGCAGCAAACAATATTTTCCTTTTTAGCTTAGAAGCCTTCCAAATCCAGAGTATTCTCCTCCTCCAACCAGCCTGATTAGCTGGTATTCTGACCTGCAACCAGCAACTTACTGCATCTAACACATCCCTTGAAAAACTACAACTGAAAAATAGATGTTCAGCATCTTCCTGTTGTTGTCCACTCAACAAACGTAAATGGTCAATCTGCACCAACAGGAACTTACTAATTCTATTCTTAGTCAATAGTCGGTTCTTCCAACAAAGCCAAACAATAAATGAGTGCTTCGGTACATTATACCTCGCCCAAATGAAATCAAATGCAAGGCATTGTTGCTGCTTGCCAATTAACCAATTATAGCCAGAATTAATAGTATACCTGCCATCAGCATTATGCTTCCCTTTGTTATCAACCACTTCCCCTTTTATCTTTTCCTTCAATTTAAGCAATCTTTTCCAATGCCAGCTCGAGTCCTGCTTAGGATGGGTGTGCCATATGTCCTCTTTCAAGTAAATGCATGTATCCACCTAACCCACAGGTTGTCTGCTTTACATGCCAGATTCCAGATTTGCTTTATTAAAGCTGCTTCGTTCCAGACTTGCGCTTCTCTTATATTGAGGCATCCTGCCTTCTTTGTTCAGCAAACAAGATCTCAGCTGACTAAAGGAAGGCTCCTTCCATTTTCTTTAATCTCCCAAATGAAATCCTTGCACACTCGATTAACCTGTTTAGTGATGCTCTTAGGAAGGATGAATACCTGAGCCCAGTAGTTGTTCAACGCCATCAGGACTGTATTAACCAATTGGGTTCTTCCTACATAGCTCAAGTGTCTAGACCTTCAACATCTAATCTTAGCCACCATTTCTGGATCAAAACTTCACATTCAATTTGATTCAACTTTCTTGGAGAAAGTGGAACCCTAAGGTATTTCATCGGAAATCTTCCTTCAATGAAACCTGAGAGCTTGCACAGGTCTTGTTTGAGCTTGTCTGACACACCACCAATATAGATTGCTGACTTGCTGGAATTAGCATAAAGACCAGAAGTGGTCGAAAATTCCTGCAAAGCCTGCATAATTTTCTGCACAGAATATCTATCGGCTTTACAAAATATCATCAAATCATCTGCAAAGCAGATGTCTATGAGTTTTAATACTTTATATTGGTGAAACTGAAATCTAGGGTCATTAGCAGTATGTTTTAATAACCTAGTCAGGTACTCCATGGCCATAACAAACAAAAGTGGCGACATAGGGTCACCCTGCCTAAGTCCCCGCTTCCCTTCAAAATACCCACAATTCTCTCCATTCAGCACTAACGAATGTGTTGGAGATCTCACACATTCCATAATTAACTGGATAAAAGTTGTAGGAAAATTAAAACCTACAAGTACTTCCTCAATGAAATCCCATTCTACCGAGTCATATGCTTTTTAATATCAATTTTCAACATGCACTGACCACTTACATTTTTCTTACCATATAATCTAATTAACTCTTGGGTAAGAAGTACATTATGTAAGATAAGACGGCTACTTACAAATGCACTCTAATTGGAGTCAATCAGATCTGGTAGTACTTCCTTCAATCTGACACATAGTACTTTGGAGATGATCTTGTACACCACGTTGCAGCAGGCGATAGGTCTGAATTCACCAGCATTTTGCGGGGCATCTGTTTTCGGGATTAATTCCAATATTGTAGCATTGACATGTCTCAGCAACCTCTCATTCTTAAAAAATTCCAATATTGCTTTTGTAAGATCCTCCCCAACAACATTCCAGGCTTCTTTGAATAACCCGCTCCCGTACCCGTCTGGACCGGGGCTTTTCCCACTGTGAATACTCCACAACACCTTTTTGATCTCATGTGCATCAACCTGCCTTAGCAGCTTTAGTTGTTTCTTCCAGTCCAACTTAGGGCCATAACCGAAGATAAACACTTTATACTCCTGCCTGCTACTCTGTTGCCCTAGTTATCGCTGAAAGAAGTCAATAAAGTGAGCTTGCACAATATTCCAGTCGTATACCAGCTCCCCACCTTCCGTGACTATGGAACATATTCTGTTTTGCATTCACCTTATCTTCATCTTTGCATGAAAGAAGGTGCTGTTAGTATCTCCCATTTTAATCCATTGCTCCTTCGCCTTTTGGTAAAGAAAGCTTTCCAGTGCCTTGCTAACCTCAATGTATTTCTAGTATGATTCTCGTTCTTTCAGTTGTAATACAACATCCCTTGGGAAATCATGAGCCATTCTCTGATCATTTTCTAACTACATTTCCCTTTCCTTGGCTTGGAGTTGTATCTCTGAGAATCGCTCCTTGTTCAGCCTTTTCAGAGGAAACTTCAGTCTCTTCAGTTTCTGGACCAACTGGAACATACAGTTGCCAACCATAGGCTGTGTCCAACTCTGCTTAACTACATCGCAAAAGTTATCAGCTTGACACCACATATTAAAAAATTTAAAAGGCTTTGGTTGCTTCCTTATGTCTCCTTCCAACTGGACAAGGATGAGACAGTGATCAGAAAT